AAGAGGGTGCCAAGTGCACAGCGGCTGTTCTTAGCGAGATGCCTCTCACTGGCAATACCTCTCTTTCTCCATTAGCTGCAGGAGCAGCCCACGGTGACTATGCCCCTAACTTTTCACTCCCTGGAGTGGGAAGTGTCTCTGTAAGGCTGAGGTTTCTATATCCTTCATCCTGAATCACCTCATGCTGCCCCTCCTCAGACCCAATAAGCCAACCACCTGCGGGCTGCACCCTCTGCTCCTCTGTCCCGAGCCCTCCTGTGCTATGGGGGAACAGTCAGCAATGTCATCTCTCACAGCAAAGTGCCCTTAAATAAAGAAATTTGTGAGGATCTGGCTTCTTGCTGTTGAAAAACATGGAAAACCCTATCAGGGCATTCTGTTGAAATAGCCTGGAAATAAAGTATACGTTGCTATTAGGATAGTCCTGCAGATTTATATTACTATTATTATTATCATCATCATAAAAAGTCATTAGCATTTTTATTTCCAGTAGTTTTGTTATTTGGCTTTCAGGGGCTTATCACACAAAAACGAAAAAGGCAGGGACCCGATACTCTGCACGACAGATAAAGGCACATAACCCGTCTGAACAGCCACCTCACTGCACTTGGGGAAGCAGATCATTTTGATGCAAATAGAGTCTGAGACCAAAATGTCTTTCTCCCTCACCTCCTTTCTATTTCATGATTAAATAAATCATAAAGCTGTCACCAGAGACTCACAGAAAGAGGTCTCAAATGGTAGAAATGAGAGCTTTCTACACTGGTCTATTTTAATTTCAAAAGGTATTTTGAATTAAAAAAGAAAGAGAAAGGAAAAAAAAGAGCATAATGCTGTTTGCATGCCTGATTCCCCGGGAGTACAAACAAGCTCTGTGTCCTCTTGTAATAATATAACAAATTTTCAAAACTAAACACAAATAAATGAAAATTAAACGATGCTCCGTAAATTTAATTGAGATTCACAGTGTCCGATGCTTTTCAAATTCAAATTACCACCAGACAGAGTATCTTTTTACATAACTTATGCAGATAAAGCATAGATGATAGATTACTTTTCCCCTCCTTTTTTTTTTTTCTTTATTTTTAGAAGAGATGGACTTCAGTCACAGTGCCAGAATCTTTGCATGTAGAATCTGAACAGAAATCTAACATTTCTCGTAGAGGCACCGTACCATATTGTTATATTGTACAGTGCTTAAAGTGAGTTACAGAAAATGAGCATGGAAAACCATCATTTTTGTATTGAATAATAGACCAAAACTGCATTTTTCTGCCATTAGAATGAACACTCAAAGCTAACTACTATTGCTTTGTGTTAGATGTCTTTCATCTTCAGTAAATAAGATTGAATGCATGAGTGGCAACTCAGAATTCTCTGCAGATCAGTCGTATCACTTCAGAAACAGAATATAAATACACAGCTTACCTAAGGAGGGTGGAATTTGGAGCTGGAAAAACTAAACGATGGACACTGTCTCTGAGAGAGGAGTTACTCCAGAAGAAGTTATGGAAGAGTTAAGGTTCAGTTTATATTCATTGTATTCAGGACAACTTCACTGCCAGGTGAAGTTCCTAGTCCTTGGTCTTGTAGGTATTTCATCTCTAATTACTGCAATCTAAGGGAAAAAGGCTTTTCCTACAGAAAGAAAAAAAAAAAAAGTACTAATAATGCTGTGCCTCAATATATAACGGAATCCTTAGTTTAGACCTTCTTGGGAAGAAAAAAAAAAAAAAAAAAGAAAAAGGAAGAGGAGTCAGAGTATTCATAGTCTGCCCGTGTTTTGGAATCAGCTCCTCTATTTATGACATAAATCACAGAACGATAGAATGATAGAATCATAGGATGGTCTGGGTTGAAAAGGACCTCAAAGATCATTAAGTTTTAACCTCCCTGCCGTAGGCAAGATCACCAACCGCTAAACCAGGCTGCCCAGAGCAACATTCAGCCTTGACATGTTGGCTGAAAACCTGGGAGTACAAATTCTATCCCTTAAGCTCCTATCCAAGGTATCAGTTATTAAAGCACAGATATTTAAAAGCACACACACAGCCATAGGTGTCTGTGCAGCAGGGCAGCAGTCCCATCTAGTGTGTCTGGTGAGACTGAGTGGTGCTGTTGCCTGCTGCCATGCACCAGTGCAGGCCCAAGTCTTCCCTTCCTTCGAGTGAGGCCTCCTGTGTGCCTAGGAACATGGGAGAGGTGGCTTTGGATGCCTTTTGGTAGAAAAAAAGAACTGACAAGGAGTCCCTCCCTGCAAGGTATACTGTGTGGGCTGTGGCATGAGGTCCCCACAACAGTGCTCCAAGGGGACAGCCTGGGCTCTGCTGCCTGGAGGGGACAGATTGCTCACAGTGCGAGTACCAGCAGCAGAATTATTCAGCTTTTTCTCTTTCCTGATGTTTTACTTCCCCATTTATTAGATTTAATGAGCTTGGCTCTGCAAGCTTGGTCAGCTGAACAGCAATTGAAATACAAGCCCACAAACCTGAGGACGTACATTTCTCTTTCCGTTGTGAACCAGGGAGATGCAATGTTCAACCATGCAGGAGTAAGCTGAAGGGTGGCATTTGGAAGGTGCGAGGAAGAAATGTTTTAGGCAGTTTGAATTATGAAATAGCATGATGCTTTCAGATGGGGGAAAAAAAGGGAAAACTTCCTTTAAGTCCATAGAGGGACATCACCAGAGACACTATTTGAACTGTTAGTTAATGGTAAAATGAAATATTTCCTACCCATTAAAGAACAAATGTACTGAATCAGATTCCAAAGATGGTGTAGTATGATAAGAAATGCCAAAAGTGATATGCAGAATGCTAACTCCTGTGAGAAAATAAGAAGAATGCTTCACCAGTGTTGTCATAACACGAACTTGTCTTTACCACTAAGCATTTTTCTTTAACACTCTTTAATTGGAGTAAGGGGGTAAAAACAGTGGCACAGGAAACATCAACCAGGGCAGTAAATAAGTAAATAATACTTATTCAGTAATACAGTTTGAGAGTTGGTTGTGCAAGTCACATGCAGAAAGGAAACAAAGTGAACGTTCACTAGAAAATGACGACTGACATGGGACAGTGGCCATTTTGCTTGTGATGCACAATCCAGCTCAGATTCATGACTCTGGCCATGGTATCACCCTGCTACCAGCTTAGCTTGCTCACTTCAGTCTTTCTATTCCTCAGAACACTCTGCACCCTCCTGCTCCCTCTGCTTTCCCATTCCTTCCCCTGCCTCCAGCCCAGGGACAATCCCCTCTTCTGTTCTTCCACTGTTCCCAGAACCACGCACTGTTCTTCTCAGCATTCTTCTCCTCCCCAAATGTCAGTGTCAGTCACGATCCTAGAAAATATCAAGGGACAGCACCCACAAATCTGCACAGCCACAGGCACTGGCAACTTTCCCACCTGCCTGTTTTCACACCCTGTACTTGGCCATGAGTGGAGCTGGGTACTGCACTGCTGCTGCACGTGACCGAAAGCCACAGCAGCCCTTTTCCAGAAGGCTGGTCACACCAAGCACTGGTTTTGTTCTTTTACTTCCAGCTGGTAAATCTGGACCCAAAGAAGCATACCAGAGTCAGACAACCCTCTGGGTAATTATCCAGTAAAGACTTCACCTCCCTCTGCTGAAGCTTGTGATCCTGTTCATTTGTGGAACTGATAACAAGAAACAGCGCCAGCAAATTTTGCCAGATCATTTGGAATATACTTAAGAAGATAAGGTCATTGTGATTTGATAATTTTTAAATGTATATTTTTTATATATCAAAACCTGACTTTGAAAAATAGCTGGAATTTGTAGGTCAGTTTTTGCTCTTGCTACAACCAAAGTCACTGACAATACTTCCACCAAATTCAAGTGTCACCACAGAAAGCTTTCAGCCAACAGAGTTCTCCTAACTTTTTGCTCACCTCATGATGGTTTATTATCTTAGGGCTGTTCATGTATGCTGAGTGGCCAACTCTAACATCTAATGAAACAGCGCTGAAGTATGCACTGCCCGCTTGTGCTTTTCTGCATGCACACACATACTCTCCTATCATCACATACGTGCAGGTAATGTCTCTGTTAAACCATACAGCTTGAGTCTGACTTCTGCAAACTGGGACGGTCTGATTTAGCGTGCTGCTGATGGGCTGGTCATCTCACTAGAGCAGGAGCAGGTGTGATATGCAAATGCTTCCCATGCAGCCCCCTCAGCTCTGGTTCTTGAGTCTTTGACTCATTTGAAGTTTGCACACAAATGCAGAAGAAATAATATTCAAATTCAGGTTATCCCCACTCTAATATTGTTCTTTTAAGGGAAACAACCTCTCATAGCTCAACACATTAATCTCTGTTATCTCATCATGCTGCTGGCAGTCCAACACAGAACTGGTATATATTACGATCATGCTCTCCTTTAATCAAGTCACAAGAACTCACAGGGGAAACCCCCTGCAACAGACCTGAACACAGTAAATCATACAGCCTACTGAGAGCCAATCAAGCACACAAAAAGGCACTGAGTGTTTGCATGGCTTTGTGTTTGCAGGGAAAAGCTGTACACCCCACCTGCAGCCACCAAGCTGCAAAAGGCAAAGCCAAGCCACAGCTGCTTAGCCACTGGTGTACACAAGATGTACATAGGCTTCCAACAGGTGACAACAATAATCCTGTGCATGAGATTTGTCAGCTACTAACACATGCAAGCACCTATGGGCAGAGGCATCATGGCCCTTCTGGCAGCACGTGCATAAGCCACTCCGATTAGGTCCATTGGCAGCTAAGCACAAACAACTGCTGGCATGCTGCTCTGCAGCTGACAAACAGCCTGTCATATCTTCCAATCATCTGTAAATCCAGGGGATTGGCCAAAATGACCATTTGGGCCATTTCCATATTTCTCTGATTATTCTTAACATGCAGAAGAAAATGAGGTCAGGTTTTCCTTAGCAGCTGCCGCTCCCGCCTTGCGGCGCATCACAACCCTCTGGGCTGACCTCGGTGGCACTGACCTTGGATGTCTCCGCAGTGGCATTACTTTCCTTACCACTCCCTGGTGCGCTCTCCTCCACTGCTGGCACTTCAGAGGCTTCTGCCTTCTTTGCACTCGTTTCCGGAGAAACTTTCCCCAGCCCACTCTCTGGGGCTGAGCTTGGGCTGCTTGCTGGCCGTGGCTGAGCCTTATACCAGCTAGGGTAAAACAAGGGATCGATGGTTTCTGCCGCAGGTGGCACTTGACTGTCAGACTCTGCAGTCTGTTGAGAACCACTTGGTGTCACAACCTCATCCTTAAGCAGGACAGATAAAAAGAAGAAGCAGAGTGCACCATGTTACCTTCCTGCCGTAGCCAAGGTTTCTCTGCATGCCCTGTTTGTTATACCTTTCTGCAAGGAAAACATTTGCCCTAATATAGGGTCTCGAAGAATTGCAATCAAATGAAGCAAAAGCAACCAGAGTTTGAATAACACAGATATGGCAAAGAATGTAAGTTACCAAAAGCTAAAATAGAAGGGCTAAATTAGCTGGGAAGGGCAAAGTGGTTCCTTAATCTATGCTTGAGCCTCATTTTAAATCCATTTCTATGCCAGGAATAAATTTCTGGAAGTGAACTGAGGCATGTGGCGACAACAGTGGGCACAAGAGGAGAAGGCACCATATCTCAAATACACTGTCCAGTGACTGTCCAGTACAGGGATACAGCTGCCTGGCAAATTACAGGTTCTTAATTAATTACTACATTTCATCCCATACACAGATAAAAACCCAATCCGATTCTGAAAACATAAGATATCCTGTATAAGAGCCCCATTGGCTGGCACCAGCCACAAATAGCAGGTGTAGGTGCTGGGTTTTGGATGGAGCAAAGCATTTGGCAGCAAACAGTCAGATAAAGAGGATATAAAGACACTGGAGAGAAATACTTTCCCACTGCTATCATGTCAATACAATAGCCAACCTCACTTGTACTGTGCTGGGAAGAGGAGCAGCTATAGGAGCTGCACTGTTCTGCTTGCACCAAGCTCTCAGGGCTCACTGAGAGTGCTATAACTACTGCTTTTCTGCTGTGCCTTTCTCACACCAGAAGGCAAAAGCTGAGATACACATATCCCTCCCGCGCACTGCAGTGCCACATGCCATGTGTCAGACTCCATGTCTGACCAAGTCATAATGGAATTTACAATTGCTACAGCAGCATGCCATACCTTTTCCATTTTAGCCTTAGAAGTGAGGGATTTGATATTAGTGGGCAGACTTGCTTACACCTACTTCTTGTTTGCATATCAGTTATGCCACACAAGTTTAGTGATATCAGCGCAAATCCTCAGAAGACAAACTGCAGTTAAATCAATAAAACCTGATTTAAGAGCACCTTCACACAACTGGTGCAAATTCATGTGTGCTTTTAAATCAAAGTAAGAATGAATCTACAGCAATTTTTTCCCCCTTTGTTTTTTTGTGGGAAGCTTGCTATAGTCAACAATTCATCACTTGCTCTCTTGTTTTCACATTGACCTCTTCAAATATCATCAGAGCAGCCTTTAACCACTCAGCAGCTTCACCGGAAAAACTGCATACGAGCAGAACTTGCTAAACTAATTGTATCTATGGGCAGATAACATGGCATACAAAATATAAATATTTTTAAGTAGCCTTTTAGAATACGCAGCAATTATGGTCTCATTCTAATAGCATTCCTTAAGGAAAAGCGTTGGCCTGAATTATTTACACCCTGAATCTGTTTGTTGCCAGGCTGTATCTCTGCTAGGTTAAAGGCAGCTTCCTCTTTGGTTTGGTCTATGATACTCCTGCATCCTCCTAGATGATAGCCTGAGGACAACCAGAGCAGAAAAGAAGGTAAACGTCATTCCCAGTAAAGAGATTAGAAGCATGATTTGAAAGCCAATGGTGGAAAGCTCACTGAATCCACAGGGAATGCCAAATTCTCTTAGCATAAATATTTTATCAACTGTTTCATTTATAACAGTTAGTCTGAGTTAAAACACAGGAGGCAGCAAGCAGAACATCCATTATAATGCGTTTAACTCCCAAATTGAATCTCTTTTATTTATATATTATGTAACCCACATATATTCTGGTTTATATAGCAAGGTAATTTTTTGCCCATCACATGATATACATGCAGGCTGAGAGGACAGGGTACAGCTGCGTGTATGTGTGAAAGGGCAATAAGCAGCCTTGCTCTTCAGTGCAGGGAGGACTCCCTGGTGCTGCTGCAGGAGCGGGGCTCTGGCTCTGCCAGGCCGCTCAGCAGAGCTGGCAGGGCAGCAGGGCCATGGGGGCAGTTACCTGGCCAGCCGGGGTAGCGGGCAGCGGCACTGGGACAGGTTCTGCTGGGGGCTCACCCGCTGCACTCTGCGGTTCAGGGTCCTGCTGAGGTGGCTGTGCTGCTCTCTCAGCTCCTTCCTCTTCCAGCTGCTCTTCCTCCTCCCCCTCCTCTCCTGATGACTCTGTGTGGACTTCATCCAGATCTTCCCCTTCTACTGTCTCCTCCTCTTCCTCTTCTGCCTCTTCCTCTAATGAGACAAATGGAGAAGGAGAGGGCTGAGCAACACATGAAGATATGCAATCGAGGAACCATAGAATGACTTGGCTTAGAAAGGGCCTTAAAAACCATTCAGTTCCAATTCCCTCGCCATGGACAGGGCTGCCAACCAACTAGTTCAGAATGCCCAGGGCCCCATCCAATTTGGCCTTCAGTGTCTTGACTACCCTGTGTAATGATAAAGCTATTTACAGCTGCACAGCAAAGCTGCTGCTCATCCACCTCCCTGGCAGAAGTGAGGAGCCCGCATGGGGCACTGCTGCAGAGCCTTGCAGCGGGAAGCACACTCCACACAAGTTTTGAAGTTTTAAACCCGGAGCAACCCATTGCTTTGTAAACTGTGGAGGTTTAGGGTACCAACTTCCCTAAAACCAGGCTGTTAAACTTTGTCAAATCATGATTTTACATTCTACGACACAGCCTACTGTCAGCGTTTGTGGTTGGGCTCCTTTCCAGAGGCAGTTCTCTAACAATGTGTTTGGTTTTGCATAATCATGTTATTCATCCTCACAAACATAGGGTGCTGCTCAGAAACATCCCGGTGCTTCAGAGTATAAATAATCTGAGATAGATGCATTAGCCCACAAATTGGCTATGCATTTTGCACAGCTTGTAGTTCTGCCTGAACCTGTAGAAGGAATGTAGATCTGCATCAAATAACACTCTTGTACTGCAGAAATACAACTGCAAACAAACACTCCTGAATCTCTACTTCCACATCCTTTGCATGCAGATAACCTGATTGACTGCAGCAGGACTGAAGTCCTGATTCCCAAGGCCCTTACTAAAGCCTTGTCCCCAAGAGGTGGGTGTCACATTCTCTATCACATGGCGGAGAGCACGAGGTCATGATCTTGGCAGACACGCATGGATGGCAGGGACATAGCAGCTGTGGCTGATCACAGGGACAAACAGGGCATGAGGTTGTACTCAGGGGTTGTCCCTCACAGCATAAATCCCTGGAGGTTCATGGCTCTGTGAGATGACACCTGCTGTGCTGCTCACTGGTGCCATGGCTGCTGTCCCGCTATGCTATGTCTCCTATGCCAAGTAAAGTTAGTTCATGGATCTCACGCCATCCCATACAGGTGCTCTTATTGGGACCAGCCACACACACTGAAGTCAGTGTAAGTTGTGGCGTGGGAGCAAGCGATGGGTGCCACTTCAGTGAGTCTCAGGAATCTGTACAGGATTTAACTGGGCTAGCAGAGGTAAATGTAAATGTATTAACAGAACCCAGCACTAACCACAAAATTAGAGATAACCAGATGATAATTAGTAGAAGAGATGAGGCCTTTTAATAGGAGAGGTCTGCTTTTTTGAAGCATTTGTGTCCATTAATTTCTTGTGGCTTACTCTGTAAGTTAAAGCATAGGTGAGCATAGATTTCAGGCTACCCCGATAAATGCAGAATTGCAACTTTGCATTGGTTCATAGACATATGATGTATGTTTAGTCATGATGTCACAACAAATCATGCAACATGTTAAATCTATGAAATATTATGACAATCTTTGCTTCCTTCTATAACTGCAATCCTGAATTTCAATCACATTTCTCTATTATTACAAATTACAAAGGTACATCTTTTATAATTTCTTTTAGTAGTAAACATTCTATTTCTTTAATGACTTTTGATAGAAGATAAGCCATAAAATAATGGCATCCTTTGGGTGGGAAAAAGTACTTTAAAGACTGAGAAAAGTGCTTAATTTTTTTATTCCTTCACATGAGGATTCAGTAAAGATCATGCTCTTAAGGAAGTCTTGAGGCTACATAAAAAGTAAAATTCATGGTGCAAACAGATTACGTGATTTTTAACCGTGAGGCTTTATTTTTTTATTATAATGGATACAAAATGGTCCAGTTTCACCTTGGGATGGAAAGAAATATCTGATTCAAGTTTTCCTAATCTGTATCATCACGTAGATTACATACAACTGCAATTTAAGAAAACTATTTAGGTGAAATAAATGACATACCTCTGTCAAAATCAATTTCTCTTATTATCTTTTCTTCTCTACTGAGGTTCACTGTGAATTGGTTCATATTTTCATACCCATCTTCTATTTTTTCCATCTGAAATCCTTTAGATGCTTCAGTAATTCTAAAACAGAGGGATTGGTTATTTGCATTTGGATTTGCAGATAAATTTGCAATCTCTAATTTATTATAAAAAATCAAGTGTCTCAAGTTTGAATACTTACTTCTGGAGCAGTGTTTTTGCATTCTGTGGAAACAAAAAGAAACAACTGACTTATTAAACAGTTCAATTTTTTGAGATATACATTGAGATCTCATTTTTACACTAGCTGCTTCTGAATGCATTAATATGGATCTCAAAAATTAGTCATGAAGTCTGTGAGTGAGATGAGACTTGAAACTTGAGTAATCTCCTCACTTCATTGAAGACTTTAATTAAAATCTGACAACAAATACACAAAATATTTACAAAAATGAAATAGGAAAATTTTTGCTCTTTTTTTTTTTTTGGTGTGTGCATTTGAGAACTTTATTTGTCTTGAAAGAATACTCTGCTCTTCAACAGCAATTATTTGTTAAAATAAGTTTTTTGTTCTTGCTTTCCTTTTGGAAAAGAATTTTTCAGCCTTTAATACAGAGGAACACTGCACAACAGAAATTCTACACCAATGAATCCAGGGAACAGGCTACCAATGGTTTCCTAATCGTCTGCTCTGAAGTCGTATTATAAACATCTAGAAGTTTTGAAGTAAAGGCATAAAAACTGGACTTAGGGTATCCACATGTAATCCTGGAAAGCTCATCACTGTTACTGTGCAACTGAAATCTCTAAATCACAGAAATCTCTCTTGGTATTTGAGGGGTGAGAAAATAAAAACATATAGAAAAATATAAAATTCCCCTGGGAACACAAAGCCTTTACACTATATAGGATAGTATACTTTGGTGCAAATGGCAAATACTCGCCCTTGATTTGTATACTATTCGTGAGAGGCCTAGCCTGCACTGATGTAAGTTTTAAAGTGAGTTTGTATGAGAATTCATTCAAACTTGACCAAATTCTGGATGTGCCTAAAATTCAGAAATGCTTACATAGTATTTCAGTAAGCATCATTCTTCTTCTGCCTCTGCTTATAGACTCTGTACCTGCAAAAACACGGCCATTTCTGGTTCTTCCATGAACTGGATTCCTGACTCAACCAGCTTAGACACAGCTTCCAAATGATCCGCATACTTCTTCATCAGGGAGCGGACATGTTCCAGTTTCTCCTCTTGGGTTCTAGTGATTATTTGTGTCATCTCATTTTTTCTTTCTTCCAGTACAGAATAGAGATAATCAAATTTTTCACACAGCTGCTCCTTCTGTCGTCTGCTGCATTCCTGTGAATCATTTGGTTTATGTTAAACATGTTATGTTCTTAAAAGAGTTTCTATTTTTACAGTTACTTGGAAGCATTTCCATCAAAGAAATTCCTCTTTTTGAGCAGTGCAAAGGATTCTGAATGACCCCAGAGACTTTCATAATTTTCAAAGTTCAAGCTATTGGAACAAAAGTTTTAAAACTGTTCTCAAACTCTGGATTTCAAACCACTGAAAGCCCCCAAACAGGTTATTGTATAACTTGTCAGCCCGCTAAAGAACTGTGAAAGGTATTTATGATGTCTGTAGTGATACTTCAAAGCCTGCAGGAAAAGTAAAAAAAATCACCATAGTAGCAGCTGTGTTCATTTGCACGAACAGAATGCTTTTTTTTTTTTTTTTAAAGGAAATATCATCCATCTCAAAGCAGTTCTGGAAAATTTTCTTTTTCTACCTGGAACTTTCTTGCTTAGGCCTGATTTTTACATCAGCCCTTTCAGACTCTGTTTTGACAGCAGGTGTCCATTATATCCCATTTACTGTGCGCTGAATGAGGGAGAGGTAGTGCGAAAAAATGCTGTGTGACAAAAGCACAAAGACAAGGAGGAGGAATCAGGTTCCAACCCTACCTTCAGGCATTGATTTTCACATCATTTTCTGAGACACTTTTCCTGTCCTTCTACTCAGACAACACACTACATTTCAGTTAGAAAGGGTTTGATGACTGCTTCACTGGGCGCTCTCTAACAAGAACACACTGCACTTGCACGGGAGGATTTATGCAGAGGAAAGCAGGGACAGGTTATCTGTAATGTCTGAGGTCTACCAAGTACTTGATTCATCTCTGAGCCCCAGGGCACACAGATGGGCATGTCCTTATTGTGGTTATACCTGGTTGTGGATGGGGGTGGTTACTTTAATCTCTTTCCTAGGAACTGAGGCTGAATCAATTCCTCATCTTCATCCCTGGAGGCATAAAGCTGAGATCCTGGCAGCACAGGGTTATTAACATCCCCACAGTACTTTTGGAGCTGGTAAGACTGATTATTTGCAGCACTTGGCCACAGAGAGCCCCACTTTTTTCTTAACTTTCAACGAGAACTCTTTCCTAAGAGCTGGCAACAATCTGCTCTGTATTGTTCAAAGGAGAAGGCCTTCTGAAGATGGACGGGAGGCCAAACACCACAGTCTGCACTGCAGGGTAAGGAACAAATACAGATGTTGTTGCATTGCCCCTAATATCCACTTCTGATTCCAATGAGGAAGACTTGGCTAAACAGTTAAAACTCATGCGGTTGTCCTGCCCAAGTCCTGCCCTTGTGGAAGTCCTTGGCACGTCCAAGAAATTTCTCTGACTGATGAATTGTAGGGTGGGGATAAGGAAGCCGGGTGTTGTTCTATTGTTCAGACCTCCTCTCCTCTTTCACTACTTTTCTCTCTTTCTCCCACTATTTCCTGCATTTCCTCTTGCTCCAGACTCTGTTTCAGTCTACAATGTCCTACTCTGAAATGTCACTCAGATCACTTGTAAAACAACCTTAATTTAAGGACAGGTGTGTACTGTCTTTGACATTTGATACAGGACAAGTGCCTGGGGAAGAAGAGAGAGTGCCCTGAGAAGTCCTTCCCTATTTCTAAGCTTTAATACGTATTATTTTCTGCCAACAAACATTACAGAGTTGTGAACCTTGTATGTTAGAATGCAAAGCTAACAGCAAAAGCTGAAATATTTCTGTTTTTCTCTTTCTGTATAAAATGTTTCCATATTAAGTTTCTGTTTGACAGAATTATCCTAATCAGATTCTGAGTAACCAAAAAGGTTAATAAAGACATGACTTCCCATTCTAAAAAAATCTTAGCCTTTTGCTTTTTAAAGCACAGCTACAGGAGAAAGGAAGGAGTCCTTGTCACTGAGCACAGACAGTGCAGAGTTCTGGGAGCACGAGCACAACACTGCTTGTTCTGAACTATCTGTATTGACTTGTCATTGCTATTAACATTGAAAAGAAACAATGTAATTTTTCCTTTTTTATCTGACTCTTATTTTTTACAGAGCTAAGCACTATTTAATTCTTTGTTGTCATTTTCCACTATTTTTCTTCTGCTTTTTTTTTTTCTTCAGTATAATATGTGAACTTGGTCTACTTTTCCATCAATTAAAAGCTACACAATTATTAACCAGATACTTTTTTAAAAATTGTTTTGCTTTTTTTTTTTTAGGTTTGGATAGGAGTAATAGCTAAACATAGAACAGTAGGCTATTGCTTTTTCCAGCTGAAAGAAAAATGATCATGTATTTTCTGCTGGAGCAGACATTGTTCTCTGCAAAGCTTTAAGTAAAGGAAGAGACAATCCTGGATTATGAGTGCTACTTCAATGTGTGCGCATTTCTCAGCTCCAGCTGTAGCTTTTCAACTTCAAGGACAAACTGATGTCAATTCAGACAAAGCTGTTGCGTGGTAGGAAATGTGATTTGCTTGAAATATAACATGGAAGTGCCAAGGTAAGCTCTAAGATCTATTTTCTTCCATCTCTGACTTTAAAGGTGAAAAGCCTTTTAGAAAATCTGAAGGTAAAATGGCTGCACTTTCTTTGGGCTTCGAGTTTAAAGGTTAGGCTTTAAGCTGAGTGGATAATTCTGAAGAATCTAGTTTCAAAACTGTTGTATTTTTAAAAATATTTTTAGCACAGTGTTTTCTCCATACTTCAGATGATGATTGAAGTTTTGTTTCTGTATCAGCTAGTTCAACTGAAACGAGCATAAGCTCTTGCTTTTGAATCATTCAAATTTCTGCAGTTAACCCACTTGAAAGGCTTGTTTCTGTCTGCAAAGTCCTGATAGCAGCCAATTTCATCCTTACAGTGTGAAAGCTTCCTGACTACAAAGTTCTGACTCCGCTGCTAACACTCTCTCATTTATTTGGGCTAATGGTTTTATGTTCTTTGAACTAAGCTTGGACACTTCCTCTTCTTTTCGTGCTCTGAGGAAATAGGAGCCTACGGCAATTGTGTACATAGATTATAGAATCAATTTTTCTTATCATTTAGAATCTATACATCTTGGATTAACTTCTATTTCACTGTAGTTTCCATTTCTGCTCCAGCTCTGATGTGTCAATAGAATTCTGATTGGACTGAGAGGGATACAACTCTTTCACCAGACGCTTCACAAACTCTGATCATTAAATCAATTCATATGAGCTGCTTTCAGCCTATTACTCTGTGATGCTCAAATTGGTCAGAACTGAAATTTACATTTGCTTCCTTGGTACAGACATCTTGGAAGAAATTAAGGCCACTTTTGTTACTGAGTGACACAAAACTAAGTACAGCTCTGTCAGAGGAAGACCTTTACCAGAAAATACAAATTCACAGAAAGACCCTCATTCCATCCATGAGCAACACAAGATTCCTTAAAGGACTGCATACATACATTAAAAAACTACTACACTAGAAACAAAATAGCCAAATAGAGAGTTCACTAAACCATAGCTGGGAGCTATGCTGTGGCTACCCATGTGTCTGAGAATGAGGTTCTTCTCAGAATCAGTGAAGTCTTAGACTAATATTGTTCTTCTACAGCTTTAGCATCTGAACTGAGAGCTCACAGTGTTTTTTGGATGCGTTTTTTACTTGGACTGTAATCCATGCAACTGAGAATGCTGAGCAAGACATGCTGATGTGGACTACTTTTACTCTTTGTCTTCAGTCACAGGGTCAGTGCCAGGGGCAGGTTGCTGAGCAAGACACATCCTTTAGATGAGGCACTACAACTGGTACTACATAAAGCCATAGATTTTTCAAAATGATATGGGAACCCATCTGGGTAAAGTGAGTAAAAGTAGAGTGATCATTACCACCAGTTTAAAAGCTGCAAATCCATGCTAACATAACTGCATGAGAAGGAATGATACTTACCTCAACTGTCTTGCAGGTCTCCTCCAGCTGCGTGACTATTCCTTGCACTCTGTCATTGCTGCCCACCAAGACTGCAATGCCGTCACTTAGCTCAGACTTGGTAGTGAGAAGAGAGCAGGAAAGAGGGTGTTAGACAGTCTGGGGGCTCTGGAGGCCAGCCATCCACCATCCCATTTTGGAGTGGCCCATGTAAGATAGGGAGCAGGGGATGAATGAGCCATACTAAAGTGTTAGCTGCACTTTTCACCAGAACCGTGGAAAAGCATTTTGATGTTTGTTTCCTCTCCTACAACAGTCAAAACACTGACATTTTGAAAGTGGAGAAGCTGTGATTTGGAGAGGAGGAAGCACTTTCTTCTAGGAGGTTCTTCTAGATGCTTTTATCTAAAGCACTATGCTTCAAGAACTCTCAAACATTCCATTTGGGCTTGTTGACAGAGAATAATTTCTTTCTTTTTTGTTTTATTTGATTTTCTGGATCCAGCCACACCACTGTGTTATTTCCCTAAGGACTGTAGGTCTCAGGCCTGGAGAAAAGGCGGTCCATGGACCTGTAGGGACCACGGGTACCATGGAGGTTCTGCCATGAGGGCAGTGGAGCTGGCAGCTGTGCTCAGAAAGTAAGGGAGAAAAGGGGGAGAAAAGGGAGACAGAGTCACTGGCACAAGGCATACAGTGGAACCCTCTCACGGAGACCAGACCAGTGGGAAGGTGGAGGGCCCTGCGATGTGATGGAAAGGAAAAATGTGGAGGGAGGAAGGAGCTGGAAATGGTGAGGCAGAGACTTCTGTGTGGAGGAACAAGGAAAGTACCTGCCACAAGTGACAGAAGGAAATTACCTAAGTGTGGAGATGGGGATGACTCTGAGATGTCTTTAGAGGACGAAGCCACTCTCTAGAGAACTTACTGAGAGTTCAGAGGAGGACAAGGAGCCCTTGGCATACTGATGTAGTAATCTAGCCGTAAAGACAACGATGTCTGTGGCCTCTGCGGCTTTGTAAAGGGTCCTTTGAAGCATATGTCCCTCAGCCTCTGGATTACACATTCAGCCTTGAGCATGAGAGCCACATTCCACAGGCAGTGGGAAAGAAACCACTGCTTGCAAATTTCTATGGAAAGAGGGCATGGATTCTATCCAAGAAAATTCTTCCCTTCTCTCCTTTTTTGATCAAAAACAATTCTTGTAACTACTTTTCCAAAGCGACTTCTCATTTGTAGTTTTCACACACAAGTATCATGCGACAAAGTTGGAGGCTGGGACTGCAAACTTGGCCTGTCTGATTGCTTGGCCCACCAGGGCCCTCCAGAAAAATGAGCTGCTTATCTCATGAGGATAACCCAGTGAGTCAGGTTTTAAATTAATACTGTATTAAAAATAAACAAGTCTTTTACTGGTGACAGCAGGCGCAGAGGATGTTCAGTACTTCCTGTGCTACCAACTATTGAATATTCCTGCATTCAGTTGCAGACAGAGGTTTTTCACTTTTTTTTTTTTCTTTTTTATAACAGATGCTTAAAGGCAAAAGTGCATGATAGATAGCAGTTTGATTTGTAATGGTCTGTTCTCTTTCCATCCTGTGCTGGCAATCATACTTATTGTTCTAAGAGCAGTGACAAAAAGAGATTAGGAACCCCCAAAGGGAGATCCTCAGCTTCATGTTAAATCTTGGTGTAAAATGTGTAGTCACTGTACTAAGAAAAAATGAGTCGTCTGTGTAATTTCTCATAGATTTATTTCTCCGTACTCTTAAATAGTTTCAACAGATTTGTGTGAGCCCTTTACTCTCAAACACGAATAAAAAAGGCACCCTCAGGCCACTTTGGAAACTTACAGGAAGCTCATGGGAATACCTTCCTGTTGATCCCTTCAGTTGCTGGAGATAGTAAGAAACAAAAAGATATTTACCTTCTGTTGCTGGTAAACGTTCGTGAGAGGAGCAACCTGACAGTCTTTGTGGGCACCAAAGACTTTGCACAAGGAGCAGGTGGGTATTTCACAGTTCAAACAATAGATATTGATTCTCTCATCTTCATGCTCTTCACACATTGGCAGGTCACACTTTTTTTCAGGCCTGCAAAAGAGAGTAAGTTTAAAACAAACTTGGTCTCATAAGTTTCTGATGATAATACTGAGGGTATCAACATGACGTAGGGTACAATCACACAGCCGTCTGAGGCTGAGCTGAATACTTGTGGTATATTTAAACCTGTCACAAAGGATGACTAAATAGAGGTACTGTTTAAGATCCTGACATGATAGGATGTGAGAAGAATATAGTAATGTGACTTCATATTGCGATCTGAACTGGGAGTGTGACTGAGTTCTCACTCATATTTAAAGAAGTAAATAACCTCACAAAGATTGGTCTTAGACTACCTATGTACTTTAGTCAGTATGTTGCCCATCATTTGCCTGAAATAGTAAACATACATAATTCCTTTAGGATTCATCATGCAAAATATTGGGTACTTGGCCTTGAAACAGTGAAGCTGCTATGTGGGGAGCTAAATTGAAGTAGGTGTCAATGGGCCTTTGTGTACCATCTATGATTTCTGCTAACAATCCTTCTGAAGTCCACATCAGGTCTGCCAGTATCAAATGGGACGGAGTCCCTGCAGCCTTTACACCATGCCAGCAATCAAAATAAGGTCTCACACAAACTAATTTTAGCTGCGCAGCATGCGTCTAGCTGTTTGGACTTGGTGATCCCCAAGGTCTTTTCCAGCTCAGAAGATTCTGTGACTCTATATCCTGTATACTGTTGAGCTTTTTAGCAGTAGCTATTTTGATTGTACCAGCCACCATGGTTATGGGTTACGCAAAGAGTGTGTGACCCCCACCTATGCTAAGCCAAGAGCCATCACTAGACTCACTGCCTCAGTTCCGATCTTCTCTTCACCAAAATGATGCAGCCATGTACAACTAGTCAATCCCTGCCATTACAGGAACCAACTTAGTTGCAACTTCCTTTAATAAGCTACTTAACTGACATGCCCAGTGTAAGAGAAAGCTCTGTCCCAGCCTGTATGGGCAGGCTGATGCTTTTCTAAGCCTGTGCACGTAAGTGTGTGGCAGTATGGTACTGGATGGGAGTAGCAGAATGATGGAGGGAGTGTGCCTGGGGGTTCAAACCTCCAAAGGTTGCAGCTTCTACTGTGGCAGAAATCTTTCCAGTATTATTCATTATAACCTAATGCCTGGATGGAGAACTATGACTCACCTGTAGCAAGTGGAGCAATGACAACATAGAAATATGTCATCATCCATGGTCAGAAATACTTCCAGAAACTACAGAATTTAATGGCATTCTAAATTGAAGCTTTTTCCTGTGTTTTTTAGACCATTTTTGCAAGGAGGCAACCTGTCATTCATTCTACTGAAATTATTTAGATTATGATATATTAGAGTTTTTCATACAACCTGGTAGAGAGGACATGGAACTTATTTTTTAATAACAAAGTACAGGTTTTCTCTTCTTAAGAAAAAAATTGAATGGAATGTGATCAATTAAATGAGTGAAAAAAAAAATCAAGCAATAAAGAAAGTGTCTCATACCTTTTTTTTTTTAATTTCAAGAGGGCACTGGGATTGAAGGGATTTCTAGGAAGAACCTTTGATCTTCAGTATAATACAATTTACAAAAATAAAATGAGAAGGAACTTTCCAAAGGAAGTTTGCATTATTTGGGACAGATTTTCAGCACATTTACATAAGGCCCTCAGTGTGTCAAATCAAGCACCATTTCAACACTAGTCAAAAAAGGTGTGTCTCTGCTGTAAAGTATGCTTTAGGTTGTTTGCAAATGACTGCAAAAACCCCATAAAATATCCAGGTTGCTGTGCACCAGTGCGAGGGCCCACATGTTAGAGTAATAAAAGACAATATCAGTGCGATTAATTAAGCCTGAAATAGCTGTTCTTCCTGAAAATGTTTACAAGGCCAGAAATGACTAGAATGTTATTTGACACTGGAGTCCTACCAGTTGCACGAAAGACAGACACATAGCACAGGGCAATGGTGTCAAGCAAGTCTGGCCAGAAGTAGCCAGCCTTCAAAGGTACCGCGAGGAGCTGGAAGAAACCTGGCAGAACTCTCTGAACCCACCAGGCCCTGAAGGCAGTGACAGAAGCCTAGAAGTAAACACATTTACAGCCTGCTTCTGAGGCTTTGCAAAAGGAGGGATGTTTTCAGAGATCTGCTATGTATAGTATATGTCAGTGTAGCAACAGCTGAAATGCAGCTCCTAAGTGTAAAACAGCGGCTGCTTATGAAATGGAAGATTAAAAAGTAGACAGTAGGAAAATGACACATAGCTTTTCTTGAAGAATAGATTCATCATAGATGTGGTTGTGACCACAATTAGCAGGTAGCTGTAACAGCCTAATAGCTTTATGTTCTTGCTCTCTGGCTCTGCTCTTTGAGATGCTAAGTCTGCGTTTGAGTAACACAGACTTATTCTTTCCCATTAAAACTGGATTTGAACCTTAATGGGCAGGTGTTGTGCATTTTCTATGGAGAGGAGGGTTCTCAGCACTGGAGAAGCCACACTTGGAGCAGTGTCCAGTTCCAGGCTACACACTACAAGAGAGTCCAACAAAGGGCCATGAAGATGAGGAAGGGACTGGAGCACCTCTCTTGTAAGGAGAGGCTGAGACATCCGGGATTGCTCAGGCTGGAGATAAGGATCTCATCAGTATCTACAGATACCTGAAGGGAGAATGCAAAGAGGATGGAGACAGGCTCTGTGCAGTGATACCCTGGATGTGGGCCTGGGTAACCTGTTCTGGGTGTCCCTGCTTTAGCAGTGGTTAGGCCAGATGGAGCCAGAGGTGCCCTCCAATCTCAATCATTCTGTGATTCTATAATTTGGTGAAGAATTTCAAAGCTACTAGGGTCACAAAGGAGTGTATTCTAATTAAAGATATAGTAAGACCTCAGCAAAACTGACATTAATAAATTGATATGTAGAAGTGGATTTATGCAGATTTACATCTAGAGTGACATTTATGATCTCATACTCGAATTCCTTTCTCACTTAAAAGTAAATTCAGCTGAGCTTGACAGCGAAGCTGCCTATCTTGTATAAAAAATGCTATTGTATTTATTAACCTATTCACCAAGTCAGGCCTAAATGGCACAGACTTAAAACAATTCCACTCCCATTGCATACATCCCCTAGCATCCTGGGCACTTCCCTTTGTTGAACTAAATGAAACTCCTGCTGTCCCATGTCTCTAACCATTTATCCTTCTGATAGGAAGAGCAGCCACTTAGTGTGCCAGCCACTCCTCCCAGTTCTGTATCACCTGCAGATTTGCTAGTGGTAATCTCCTGCCCAATTGTCCAGGTCATTAATGACAGTATTAAACTGCACTGGTGCCAGTATCAACCTCTAGCTACACCTGGTCTCCACCTGACTTTGTGCTGCTCCTCATAACCTGCTGGTTTGGCAATTCAGCCAGTTTTCAGTCCACCTCACTGTCCGCTGTCCACTCTAGACATTATTTCATCAATTTGTCAATAAGGACATTATGAGAGACAGTGTTGAAAATCTAAATAAACCACACCCACTGTTCTCTTGTTCACTGAGTTTGTCATCTCTTTGCAAACGGCTGTTGGGTTGGTCAGGCATGAATTGCACTTTGCAAATCCACACTGACTACTTCTGATCACCTTCTTATCTTTTAGATTCTGAAAATGCATTCCAGGAGAGATTGCTCCAACATCTTTCCAGACGTTGGTGTACAGCTGATCAGACTGTAGCTCCCTGGATTCTGCTCTCCACGCTTCTTGAAGATTGGAGTGACATACATACGCACCACTACTGTGAATTCCTACCCAAGCAAAGCACTGGTGAAGTTGAGGAGGAGCTCTTCCCATGGGGGCTTGGAGAAGATCCAGGTGATCTCTATACTAATCTCTTTTGCTATGCAGTCTGTGGGGCTTCTCCTGTAGCATCCTTGCATTGTGACTGACCCTCCCTAGTGCACAAACCTGTCCATCTCCCAGGTCCAGCCTACCTGAAAGCCCATGTATTCCCACAGCCCATACTGGACAGCCACAGCCTCTGTTGGGAGCTTGAGATGAGGCCTCTGAGGTGTCAGCTCCTGGTGGTGCTGGGCACACTACCCTGCTGTGGATCCCCAGTGCTACAGAGCCCACACACTTTGTTCTCTCCATGGCTCCTGGCCCCTGCTGTGCTGCATCTGCTGCTCCACCTATGCACAGCAGGGCCAGCCTTCAACTAGTACTGTCCCTTGTAGGTGCAAGGGAGAAGCACGCTACAAACCCTGGAGCTGGATCCAGTGGACACAGAGACCCCAGCACCCTTTGTTTAGGAATAGCTGGCTGAGCTCATTAGAGACTGTGAGGAGCTGCAGCCTCCTGCAGCTACCCCTTCCTGGCAGCAGCAGGCCCCCTGAAGCTCCTCAGAAAGTTCAGGTGATCAGTGGCCTAAAGACTTTCAAACACTGGAGTAATATTTTAGTTAACTTTATTTCTGTTGGGTTCAGCACTTTGCTCTCCTTTAAAGCTTTGCAGGAGTCACATCCTGCTTGAATATTTTCCCCCTTGTCTTGCTAATAGATACTAAATCGGGCAACAGGTTATGCTGTCATCGGCTGGAGTCTGATGTGCAGTATGATAAAAGACAAAAAAGTGATGTAACTTTTTGTAATAAGAGCGACTTCCCGAGAGAGCTTTGGTAGAGCCTCCCCATCTGATGGCACAACTCCTCCCTCAGCTTTTATTTTTGGAAGAAAAATGCCTTAATTCATACAAAAACTAAAATTAGGACAAAAAAAATATATATATTTTGAGATAAATTATTTTTGCCTAAGCAGGAGACAAAGCTTGCTCCTTATTTGGATTTCAACCCTTCTCCTCAGCTCATGCAAAAGCTGGGAACTGGCACTGTTCTGGCATGTACAGTTGTTATGGTGAATTATACCAGCAGGAATATCTTGGGGAAGAAGGTCCTTTTCTGGAAGTTACAGGAGCTGCCAGTCTGAAGGGCTGTCTTGGACAGAAACAAAGGTGACACCTCTTCCTTCCTATGTACCTCTGCCAGAACCAGCCATCAGACTGAGAGGAACTGATACAAAAGGAAGAGAAGATCCAATTTCCTTTAACTTTTTTGTTTTACTGGGACAACACAGGGTAAAGCAGTGGCAGATCTTGCTCACACAACCAATGGGAGCCTGAGGAATTTTAGGCAGAGGGAGATAAGCAGCTGAAGCCTACAAAGTGCTAAATAGTTTAGATAATGCTGTTATGCATTGTTGCTGCTATGTAACCCTGATAATTATTTTAATTCTGAGGACATTCATGAAGGTTAAATAAACACCTGAAAAGATTAAGCAAACAGGGGCACCAGACAGGTATCTATGCAAATACATCATTCATGATTATATTTTTTCCTATTATTTATCCTATTATTTCCTCTTATTCATGATGTTGTATTTTTGTTCTCTTCAATTGCTTGAAAGGAGGTTGTGGCAAGGTGGGGGTTAGCTTCTTTTTCCATGTAACAGCAATAGGACAAGAGGTAATGGCCTTCAGTTATGCCAGGGTAGGTTCAGGTTGGGTATTAGGACAAAATTCCTCTCAGAGTGTGATGAGGCACTGGAACAGGCTGCCTGGAGAGGCAGTGGAGTCACTGTCCCAGGAGGTGTTCAAGAAATGTGTAGATGTGTCATTAAGTGACATGGTTTAGTGGTCATGGTGGTTATGGTTTGATGGCTGGACCAGGTGATCTTAGTGGTCATTCTCTGATTTTGTTTTAGAAGAATTTTCAAAAATCTACTAAATCCCTTATATTTCCATTTAACTGAAATTGGTTCCGTTTGCCCATGAAATATGTAGGAACACTGAGCTGAAGTTTTCATATTTTTTTTTAAGTTTAATACAACCCTTGAGTTGGAAAAAGAAATATAAGACACGAGGCCATAAGTGTCCAGCTTATTTGGTTGAGTGCAAAACACACCACTCTGATGATTCATTTCCTCAGATATTTTCCTGACTCAAATAATACTTGGATATCAATGACACACATGAGCACAGATGACCTTCCCTGGCCACGGAGTGCTAAGGGCAGCATAAAGAAAAATTTTAAGCCAACTTCATGCTCTCCAGTGTTTTGGAGCTCAAATCCATGTGCAGCTACAACTGTTCTGCGAGGACTCAAACAGCCAGGAATAGCCAAAGCCACTGCTGTGCTCCAAAACCACCTCTGTGCTGGAGGAAGGTAGAAGTGCCCTAAGCCACCCAAGGAGCTGGGTCCAGTGCTTGAGTCTACCTGCTTCAGTGATATCACCTCTGCTATCCCTGCAAAGCCCAGCTGCTTGTGGGAGGAGGCCAGGATTATACCTTCCTTCAGGTGTACAAATACCCTGCCTTACAAACCTGGCCCTACAAGTGCATACTGGTGACAACAGCCTGCATCACTGGGTGAGAGCTGCTTGCTTAGTGGCCTGGGACCAGCCTTCACCTTCTTCCTATTATGTTCCCCAGTGTGGTAGCCTGTGCCCAATCCAGCATAGGGAAAGACAGATGAGATGTTGTTCTACTGCTGGATTCCTAACGTATCCATTAGAGGCACTTAACATTTGGAGAATTTTTAGGATTAACCTGTTCCTCTGCCCTGGGATTCTAATACATAACCATAGCTCTGATACATAGTATTTCTAGCTGTTCTTTCACTTCTACGGAATCCTAAATAAGATTCGATTTCGTGTGTTCCTGTTCCTAGCTGACAGAAGTTGAAATTTTTTATCGTGTTTTAATGTAATGTTATAATCCAGGGTATTTTCTGGGTGCAATTCAGCTATCTCCTTGTGTATTCCTTAGGATTTTCTAATAAGGTTTGAAATCCAATTCCTTTAGCATGTGAACACATGGGTTAAAGAGAAATATGTTTGTTTGAATAGCTTATAAAATAAACAACATGAATCTAGCTACTTTTCCCTCATTCATGAGAATACCTTTGTTGACTACGGGTAAGTACTGCTCAAAGGAATGAAAATGACAGTGGTCTTCCGTAAGTGGAAGCAGGGAAATCCAGCATCTATCTAGATACTGCTTTCAGAGCTGACTTCACTGCACAGCAAGCAAGCAGGCATGCACAGCAACACAACCCCTTTCTGCATTTCTAAGAGAGAAATTAACAAATAAACCTCCTGTCTGACAAACAGAAAGACCAGAAGGACACCACAGCAACCCCAGTGGTGTCTGCTTTTGTGGCAGATCTCCCATGAAGAGTACAAGTTCCCTTGTTACCTTGTGGACTCCTGCTTGTATATATCAATGATGTTCTCCACCAGCAGGTTCCTCTGCAGCCCGTACACGCCGTGGCGGTCAAGGACCACTTCATGCCTGCAGGAAGGACAGCGAAACCGGCCTCCCGAAGCCACAGTCGTGCCTCCCCTGGTGGGCAGGTAGGGGTTCGAGGCCTGTTCTTGCCAAGCAGCACAAGAAGAGGTGAGTAAGGCCACGTGCAGCTTTACCAAAATGTATTTTGACAACAAGGCATCGTTTTTGGCGCATGACAGACCAAAATCTGATGAAATCAGGGCACATCTCTCTTCCCTCTTCTGCCCTACCAGCCCTAGGAACTCTGAGTCAAACCATTCAAAGCAAATATCTAAAGGTCTACTGGGAGAAACTGCTGAAGCCATTTGGATGAGGCTCACAGTACTGCAGTGATCTGTGCTAGAGATAATGCAGCTCCTTCAAAAGCACCAGGGCAGCCCCCAGAGCCTTAACATCTACAAAAAGCAATCAACTGAGCCGGGCGATACTCGGCTTTTCCATTCATTCAACTGAGTGCTGCCCAAATCTTCAGAGTTTTCCATGGGAATGGACCTACCTGGAAAATATCACTGGCACATTTCCTGCACAGGTTATGCTGGCAGGGCAGGATGACCACCGGCTTGGTGAACATCTCCAAACAGATGGGGCAGATCAGCTGCTTCTCCAGGTTATCCATGGTCTGTTGCTCTTTGGAGAAGGACTTGTAGCCCAGAGAGGTGCTCATCCCTAGCTTTTCCAGGGGCATATGCTCAGGATCACGGCGTCCCTGCTCAGTTTCCGTGTGAATTTTCCTTGAAATAAATCCAAGGCTCCAGTGCGATCAGAGGCACTCTGGGCTTCGCTCACTGGAGGACATTGTTTGAAGGGGCCGGAGGGAGCCGGGGCTGTTTTTAGCAGCACGGCGTCACGGGATGCCATTCTGCCGTGCCCATATAAGCTATGAGAGGAGGATAGGCTGGGACAGGTGACAGCTCCAGGGGCTGGGGGGGCAGTGGCAGAGCCCTGGCTCTCCTCACTCACACATGGTGGCCTTCACCCCTGGGAGCAGCCGAGTGATAAGCCCATCTGAGCAGCCCTTATCTTCACAGGACCAAAGCATGCTTGCTGCCCAGACTGATAGCCACTATTCCTGCGTTATATAGTCATCGTTCTGAGCACAGAGCTGAGGCTGCAGTGAGCAATCTGCTGTGCTGCTCCTGTTTCAGCAGGCTCCAGCAGTTGGCCCTCCCAAGGCGTGGAGCACGTGAAGTTTCTGGAGAATACAACAGGAGAGATGGCTGCTCTCGGGCTCAGATCCTTCAAGGTGTAAGCATGTCACTGCCTTACAAACCAGCTGAAAGCACTGCCTATCAATAACTGCACTTAACTTTCTTCCAGTATGATTTTTTTAGGAACCAAGAATTTAACGTGACTGTTCAATCTAGTAGCTTAAATTTGCCCCAAAAACACTATCTGAATTTTCTAATGAGAAAGAGACAGAAGAATTACAGTATGAAAAGCTTTAATTTGTACTGCTAGAGAATAAGTACTAATTGTACACACTCTCTCTCTCTGCCTAGTGTAATTCAAATGCATTTTGGTTTTGGGCACTGCTGTTTGTGTCTGTTTATTAGACACCAGTATCCCTCTCAGCTTGGCATTTGTTCTAGAGTTATTTTTAAAATGACAATTTCCCAGATAATCTGTGGCATGTGATGCCTGATCTTAAGGGAAAGCCATCTGTGCTTCCACTTGCCAATAATTTTATCGCACAACTGTACGAGTAATAAATATCTCATCCTCAGTTTAAGCCAGAGTCCCTGCATGTACTGTATAAAATCACTTTGCCACTGTACTGCACATGCAATCAGTATATTGTCTGCTATCTTAATCAATAACTTCTCCACTAAGGGTCTTCCAGAAAGCTCTTGTGTTTATGTAAACTTTTAACCTAGAAGTGCTCGGCTATGACATGCCTTATACAGTGGCTGAATGAATCTCCTGTGTGTCCTGGGCAGACCTCATTTCTCTCTATCTGTATGCAATACCAGTCTGCACACCGTGCAGTTCAGGGAGATATAAAAGTGAAGGTTTTCATTGATTTCCACGTGAAAAATGAGTAATATTCTCTGCATGCAGTGACAACAGATCACATTAAAATCAGTGTATTACTGACTAGCTTTTATCTTCAGTGCCTTGCACGCTTTAAGCATTTGGGTTAAATTCTGTGCCCACTTGCAGCCCACCAAGCCAGAATTTCACCTACACCTATAAATTTGTCAGCAGCCCCATAAAAACAACTAACTTTTTCTGAAGTCCTGCTTTGATGAGAAATTTGTAAGTTTAGTTACCCTGGTCTGAAGTCACACCTTTGCTCCAGCTCCCCAGTGCAGGCAAGATCTCAGGAGCTGAAAGGGGAAAGCTGTTCCAGCAGCTGAGCAGCAGACAGCTGGGGCTTTTGGCAGGATTGGCAGGGTCATTCTTGGCAACAACAAGAGGATAGTTCTCCCGTGGTCAGGTCAGAGGTGACTGGTGTCTAGAGGAATCTGAAGGCCTCATGCTGATCCTCCCGTCCCTGCATCAGCTGCCCCTTGCACATCAAAACCCGCATAAATAAGGAGCTTTGTGTTGGGTGAGGAAAGCTTTCTCTGCATGGTGAGGCAGATGCTTCCAGCCTGTGGCACAGGCAGAAACAGCAAAACTCTGCAAAGAAAAGCTGAGGGCTAGATATGCCGCTGTGTAGAGATAGTTGCATACAGCGTACAGCGATGCAGGAAAACCCATGGACACTTGGGTCAGTGAACAAAGGCACTTCTTAAGGTGCACTGTGTGCCTGGGATGTAATTCTGAGAAAATTATGCTAACCTGTGATAACTCACTAACATCTTCTGTTAACTGGTTCTGTTAACTGGTTGTCTGATGTATCTGTGGAGTATGTCTGCTGGCATCTGCACCCACCAGCCCTCATGGCTCTCTGCACCAAGCCAATCTATTTCTCAGTGGAACATAACGGGACTAGAGGATTTGCCTTAGTTCCACTCATGCACAAAGACCCTGGATGTCTGCCAGCCATCACCAAGAAGGTTGCCAGGATATTTCTTCTGTCGTATCTTTTTGCAGCATAGCTTGCCTGGGAGTGTCTCCTGGCCTTGCTGACACAACCAGAAACTAGCTCCTAGAGTTATGCTTGCTTTTCTAGGCATTGTTTCCAACTCCTCTATTTTTGTAGTGTATCACAGCTTGTGGGCTGTGGACTGAAGGCCGGGAGAGCCTGGAAGGCTGACTGCAAAGTAGAGGGGTTAGGAGAGGAATTTGAAGGAGGAAGGAGAGGTTGAGTGATGTCCAGATTCAAGTTTCAATGCCGTAATGACATCCCTGGGTTTTACATTCATAGAATTTCCCTTTGAGACCTCTTATCCTGTACCAGCGTCATCAAGTTCTCATCTGTCAGTCATAGAAAATCTGTCCTCTGTCTCTTATGTGCCCAGAAAACAAAGGGAAAAGTGTATTTTCACCAGAAGGCATCTCCTGCATGGCTTATCTTGCCATAAAGCTCAGCAAGGACAAGGCTCGCGCTACAAGCATCAGACTCCTTGCCCAGGCAAGAACAAGACTGCATCTCTGGCCCCACCAACTGCTGCATGGGGAGAACCCCAGACCCACCTTCCTGTGTCTCCCGCAAAACAGCCACTTGAGAACTCCTGGTTGCCCCCACAATGTAATGTCCTAACAAAAAGTGATGAGGTGGCTGTCTCCATCTCTGCCACCTGAACATAAGATTTAGACTAAAATGACAATGCAATGCCCCTTCCTCCCCAGTTATACTAACTGCCTGTTTTGACTACAAATATTTGTATTTTTAGCCAGATATTCTAAGGGGGTAGAGGAATATCCTATCTCCCCTCCATCCACCCCACCTCCTACCCATAGAAGCACCAACTGCAAATGGTATCTTGTCTTTCATGATTTTATTGCTATCATTGAACATCCCATAACAAATACCAAACCTACACTTTGATATACCTGACCTGATGCCTCAAAAGAAAGCCTCTGCAACAGAGACAAGAGATTTCAAAAGCAGTTACCTTCTGATATCTTACCATACATCTTAGCATACAACTTACTCATTCATTTTTCAATGCACCCATGTGCAATATGATTTTCTAGAAACAACTGGGTGATGGTTGCACACCTCCAGGGGACTACCACAGGAGGTAATGACACCTTCCAAAACAACCCTGTGCACACAGGGAATCATCTTCTCTGTAATTTTCTGTATTCTCAAAGCTCTCAAAATGAGTGAGTCTGAAAAGACAGCTGCCTATGCAGTGGAGTAACAAACACAACAATACTGTTCAGCTGCTCTCTCTCTCATACATAACTTTGCAAGCCCAAAGGTCCCCAATCCTCATCCTCTTTTGTGTACCTCAGACCCTCGACACACTACTGTTACAAAGAGGTCTGAACTTCACATGCAAGGCATAAAATCATGTTCAAACTACTGTGCGGGGCAGAAAGTGCCCTACATGACCATCCATCTAAAAATAGGCTCTCTCCAGAGCTATGGACAAGTTTCACAGATAACAAACTTGGTTTTCCACACGCTGAAATATGTGCTGCAGAAACATGCCCAGAGACACGAATGAAAAGGCTATAAATAAAATGAAACCAGTTAGGAAATGGGAGAATGCAATCCTGCTTCCTCTTGGAGACGCAGTGACCAAATGCTTTAGACTTTTAGCACTTTTACAGCCCTTTCCCCTCTCCTAGGCTATAACAGCACTGCATCCCATAGGAGTCTGTAGATCATCACTAAATATCTCCCCTATTACCAGAGGGGAAGGCATGACTGGCTCCTCCCCAGGTTGTTCTTGCATTTCATGGAATAACATAGGAATTGAGCACTGGGTTAATGAAGGATGAGCTAGTGCAGTGATAGTGGGGTAACCCATCTGGGGTAGCCCAGACACAACAGTAGTTAGGGACCTCCCAAGCCTGCCACAATGTAAGGAAAAATAATTGCAGAGTTTCAGCATTAGGAATTTTGACCAGAGGACAGATTTCATTTCTACTTTGTCCATAACAGCCCATAGCTCTGTTGTTAGGAAACGACAGCAATGGTCAATGGGGAAGTGATTTGTGTTTTGCAGCACAAATCCAGCTCCGGCTTCCCAGCTGGCGTCAGCTCATCGCTTCACACAGATACAACCCTGGCCAGAGTCACATTTCTCCCCAGCCCTCGTTCACTCAACATCAGCCTCTCACAGGCTATTTCAGTCTGCTGCCTCCAAGTTCATCTGGCAGAGCAGAGGAATACGAGTGTTTTTTTCTCCAGGACAATCCTTAGGTCTGCAATTCAAAGGAAAGGCTGTTTTTAAGGTTATTCTCAGCATATGACTTCACATCATGTCAAAGACCTGCTTAGACTCTGTCCCAGGTCCTTTGACTTGTTTACATGTTTTCATCCCTCCTCGTCCTGAGGGTCATTCCTCCAGGACAGAGTAAAGCTGGGAGATAAAGGATCGAGGTTTATGCTATTACAGTTAAACAGAAATATGTGGTGTGGAAGCAGGAAGGTTTTCAGACAGCAAGGCATCACCAGACATAGTGGAGCACCTGCTTAGCACATGGACTGTGAGAGAGGTAGTACCTCTGTCCGTTAGTCTTTTTTTTCATGCTGTATTTCAATTTTATCTCTGTTTTCCTTTCATGTCTTCCTCTGCCCTGCAAATGCTCTTTAGATGTACAGCAAAACCAGCATGACTATTCATTTCTGAATGCTGATGCCTTTTTTCTTTGAAAATCAGCTTAGAAGAGCAAGTTCCTCTTTTGGACATTTACCAACCAAATTCTTTCCCTCGCTCCCTCACATGTGTTTCATGTGAGCATGGAAG